ACCAAATAAGTATGACTCAATATCCCGATATATGACAATACTCTATTTTAACATAGTGGTTCACCATGTTGCCATTTTTTTTCTCACCCTAGGTGATGATGGTCGCGATGTTCACATGATCACAATGCACTCGACATGGTAAATCCCAATGCTATGAGTTTGCCAGTGCATGCCACACTTGTCACTATGTTGCACAAGGGAATGTTTAAAATTTTAAAAACAAATCTCATTGACCACCAACTACTCCCAACGCCAAGACATATAAAGACTTTCGAAAAACTAATCAAATCCTAGACATAAAATACTTTTGAATCAGTGAACAGTTTTTCGAATGGACAAACATTTTTTTTTTGAAAATTTTGTTTTTCTCAAAAAAATCATGAACATTAGTATTGTTCACAATTTTTTTGAATGCATGAACCGGTTTCATATTCATTAATATTTTTTGACTCAACAAACATTTTTTGAATCTATGAACTTTTTTTAAATTGGGGAACAAAACTAAAAAAACCACCAACATTTTTTGAATCTACAAACTTTTTATGATTTTCTAAACATTTTCGAATTCACATATATTTTATGTTTTTTATCAAACTTATTTTTTAAAAAACTCAAAACTTTTAAAATATTAAAATCCGGAATTAATTTAAAGAAGAAAGAAAACAGAATGAGAAAAGAAAAGACAAAAAAGTAAAATGAGAAAAAACAGGGGAGTGAAGCCCCGCACATGGGCCGGCCCAAGAACATGCGTCTAATCCAATATTTATGGCTCAAGAACCTCTTCACACCAGCCCATGTTCTTTATGTATACGTGGCAATCCACCCATGTCGCCGCATATGCCCGTGCGTTGCAACGGGAGACAAAAAAAATTTATGGCTAACCAAATAAGTATGACTCAATATCCCGATATATGACAATACTCTATTTTAACATAGTGGTTCACCATGTTGCCATTTTTTTTCTCACCCTAGGTGATGATGGTCGCGATGTTCACATGATCACAATGCACTCGACGTGGTAAATCCCAATGCTATGAGTTTGCCAGTGCATGCCACACTTGTCACTATGTTGCACAAGGGAACGTTTAAAATTTTAAAAACAAATCTCATTGACCACCAACTACTCCCAACGCCAAGACATATAAAGACTTTCGAAAAACTAATCAAATCCTAGACATAAAATACTTTTGAATCAGTGAACAGTTTTTCGAATGGACAAACATTTTTTTTTTGAAAATTTTGTTTTTCTCAAAAAAATCATGAACATTAGTATTGTTTACAATTTTTTTGAATGCATGAACCGGTTTCATATTCATTAATATTTTTTGACTCAACAAACATTTTTTGCATCTATGAACTTTTTTTAAATTGGGGAACAAAACTAAAAAAACCACCAACATTTTTTGAATCTACAAACTTTTTATGATTTTCTAAACATTTTCGAATTCACATATATTTTATGTTTTTTATCAAACTTATTTTTTAAAAAACTCAAAACTTTTAAAATATTAAAATCCGGAATTAATTTAAAGAAGAAAGAAAACAGAATGAGAAAAGAAAAGACAAAAAAGTAAAATGAGAAAAAACAGGGGAGTGAAGCCCCGCACATGGGCCGGCCCAAGAACATGCGTCTAATCCAATATTTATGGCTCAAGAACCTCTTCACACCAGCCCATGTTCTTTATGTATACGTGGCAATCCACCCATGTCGCCGCATATGCCCGTGCGTTGCAACGGGAGACAAAAAAAATTTATGGCTAACCAAATAAGTATGACTCAATATCCCGATATATGACAATACTCTATTTTAACATAGTGGTTCACCATGTTGCCATTTTTTTTCTCACCCTAGGTGATGATGGTCGCGATGTTCACATGATCACAATGCACTCGACGTGGTAAATCCCAATGCTATGAGTTTGCCAGTGCATGCCACACTTGTCACTATGTTGCACAAGGGAACGTTTAAAATTTTAAAAACAAATCTCATTGACCACCAACTACTCCCAACGCCAAGACATATAAAGACTTTCGAAAAACTAATCAAATCCTAGACATAAAATACTTTTGAATCAGTGAACAGTTTTTCGAATGGACAAACATTTTTTTTTTTGAAAATTTTGTTTTTCTCAAAAAAATCATGAACATTAGTATTGTTTACAATTTTTTTGAATGCATGAACCGGTTTCATATTCATTAATATTTTTTGACTCAACAAACATTTTTTGCATCTATGAACTTTTTTTAAATTGGGGAACAAAACTAAAAAAACCACCAACATTTTTTGAATCTACAAACTTTTTATGATTTTCTAAACAATTTTGAATTCACATATATTTTATGTTTTTTATCAAACTTATTTTTTTAAAACTCAAAACTTTTAAAATATTAAAATCCGGAATTAATTTAAAGAAGAAAGAAAACAGAATGAGAAAAAAAAAGACAAAAAAGTAAAATGAGAAAAAACAGGGGAGTGAAGCCCCACACATGGGCCGGCCCATGAACATGCGTCTAATCCAATATTTATGGCTCAAGAACCTCTTCACACCAGCCCACGTTCTTTATGTATACGTGGCAATCCACCCATGTCGCCGCATATGCCCGTGCGTTGCAACGGGAGACAAAAAAAATTTATGGCTAACCAAATAAGTATGACTCAATATCCCGATATATGGCAATACTCTATTTTAACATAGTGGTTCACCATGTTGCCATTTTTTTTCTCACCCTAGGTGATGATGGTCGCGATGTTCACATGATCACAATGCACTCGACGTGGTAAATCCCAATGCTATGAGTTTGCCAGTGCATGCCACACTTGTCACTATGTTGCACAAGGGAACGTTTAAAATTTTAAAAACAAATCTCATTGACCACCAACTACTCCCAACGCCAAGACATATAAAGACTTTCGAAAAACTAATCAAATCCTAGACATAAAATACTTTTGAATCAGTGAACAGTTTTTCGAATGGACAAACATTTTTTTTTGAAAATTTTGTTTTTCTCAAAAAAATCATGAACATTAGTATTGTTCACAATTTTTTGAATGCATGAACCGGTTTAATATTCATTAATATTTTTTGACTCAACAAACATTTCTTGAATCTATGAACTTTTTTTAAATTGGGGAACAAAACTAAAAAAACCACCAACATTTTTTGAATCTACAAACTTTTTATGATTTTCTAAACATTTTTGAATTCACATGTATTTTATGTTTTTTATCAAACTTATTTTTTAAAAAACTCAAAACTTTTAAAATATTAAAATCCGGAATTAATTTAAAGAAGAAAGAAAACAGAATGAGAAAAGAAAAGACAAAAAAGTAAAATGAGAAAAAACAGGGGAGTGAAGCCCCGCACATGGGCCGGCCCATGAACATGCGTGAGAAAATAAAGATAACAATTTTTGAATTCACATATATTTTATGTTTTTTATCAAACTTATTTTTTAAAAAACTCAAAACTGTTAAAATATTAAAATCCGGAATTAATTTAAAGAAGAAAGAAAACAGAATGAGAAAAGAAAAGACAAAAAAGTAAAATGAGAAAAAACAGGGGAGTGAAGCCCCGCACATGGGCCGGCCCATGAACATGCGTGAGAAAATAAAGATAACAATTGTGGAAGTTGGGGATCCAACCCTGGTCTCACCGCTGGAAGAGCGATCAGCCAACCACTCTGCTAGCAGTCGTCCTGTGTCATCTAGTTGTTGCGCCCCTATAATAACACAACAAAGGAGGCGTTGATTTTTGGTCCGAAAAATCGACTCGTTTTTTCACTTACGGGTGACATTGGTGGGTAATTTTAACCAACTTGAAGGATAATTTTAATGACGGACGACCAGAAGCGATAGCCGCTTTATT